GGTCCCTTCCGACCCTAGAAACTATGAAACTATGAAATTCGGAAACATTCGGTAATTTGGACATAAACACAGCTTTAAATGTTTGTTTTGTTTTGTTTTGGTTTTTTTTTTTACATACCTCGAGGTACCAGGTGGCACGTGAACACTGTGATGCTGGGGCAGATGAAGCATCCCATAGGAACGAGGGGGGGTCCCCAGCATGCTCAGCAGCAGACCAGGAAGTGGACCAGAAGTACTTCCTGTCCACTTCTGGGTCCACTGGGGAGCATGTTAGGGGCCCGCCCCCAGCTTGGTGACTGATGCCTCCTGGGTCTCAGGGGGCACCTGGGGTCCCCCCACAGCCAATCACCAAGCTGGAGGGGGTGTGGAGGGGCCCCCAGCACGCTCCCTGGCAGACCCAGAAGTGGACCAGAAGTAAATCCGGTCTACTTTGGGTCTACCGCTGAGCATGTGGGGGGGCCTCCCCCTGCACTCCTGTGGGATGCTCCATCTGCCCCAGCATCACAGCATTCATGAGCCATGCCTGGTACCTCAAGGTATGTAGAGAAAACATTTAAAGCTGTGCCTATGGCCAAACCGCTGATTCTTTGAATCAGCACTGAATCTTCAGATTCTGCTGAATCAAATCAGGGACAGTGATCTGAATCAATGGATCGAATCACTGTCCCCAATTCAGGCCAAGTCTGAATTGAATATAGCCTGTTTTGCATACCCCTACTAGACAAGTCACCTAAGGCAAACTTTTCAGACGATCCCTGATTATTCCCAACTTTCAGAGTGCCCAGATAGATACCCTGTGGAGTGATTAGCAGAGGTGGTGAGCATTCACAGTTTCAACTGGAGGAATTGCATAACCCCAATGGAGCTTCAGTTCACAGAAGCTTGAGCTATATACAGTAAAAGCTCTGTTATCCGGCATCCCCTGGGAATGGGGGATGCCGCTTAATCAAATATTCCAGTTAATCAAATGTGCACCATCTGGTGCACCCCCCGGCATCAGTGTGCTGGGGGACAAGGAGGGGGGCCCTGAGCAGGCTGCTTTGCCCTGGGCCATGGGCTGAAGAAATGGCAAAGAAAAGCTCTGCTCGTGGCGGCGAAACCCAAAAGTGGTACTTCCGGTTTTGCTTTTGCTGCTTCTCTTGGATGCCAGTTAACAGAGTTTTCCAGCTAATAAAGTGCTGGTTAACATAGCTTTTCCTGTATATCACAATCTACTATGGTTAGTCTATAAGGTGCAAATCTACCCTGCCTTCCTATTGAAAAATCAGATCCCAAGCAGCTTGAAATGGGCTTCCAACAACAGAGAACCCTCAAGATGCAATAATGATGAGTTCCATAAAGAAGTCAGACACAAATCATTCTCTAAACCAACTTTAAATAGCATGAGGTAAATAAAGCAAGGGGACCCAAATGAATAATGAGACTAAAACAAACATTGACTAGCTTCTCATTAACTAGGTACCATGCATCCTCTGCACTTAGTGAGGCAGAGACTTTTGGAAAAAACAGCATGTGATTGTAAAACTGAAAACTGCTTCATAATACATGTGCTGGAGGAGGCTAAACTAAGCTGCCCAGACTTTCTGATTTTTAAATGCCTGACTTGACAACATCATGATCTTTTAAATTTCACTTTTCAGGAAATTATAAAAAGACAGTTTCCACAGATCTAGCAAATGTTTTAATTTAATTTATTATAATAATCCAGGCACTTGTTCAGTGGCTGCTTGTTAGCAAGTGGCTGTTCATAAGCACTAAGACAGAGCATGGTACAAGTCAATTCTGAGGCCTCAGAGCCCTGACTTGTCCATTTAATTAGAATGGATTCCAAGAGAACGTGAGGCACGGAATAGGATTCCTTCAAACTCCCACATGAATACATGAGTACATTAGAATTAAATGGTATTACAGAAAACACTAACAGACTTCAAGAAGTATACTACAATGCCCTTCTTTTTTATGGCATGTACCTCAATTAATTCAGAAACACCTAGTGGATTCACAGTCTCTGGGGCTTCTGGTCCACCTGGTTTAGCTGCCACTGCAACAATAGGACACCCATGGAACCTGAAAGAGAAAAATAATCCCATCATGAGACTTCAAGTCCCTTGCACATGCATGGAAGGGAAAATAACAAAAGCTTCATCTGTCAAAAGAGATGAGGAAATTGCGCTGGCTATTGATTTATCTAGCTCAGCGATAGTCAATTACGGGCGTTTTCTTCTGGGACTGTATTATTGGTGCCTTAGAATTTACTAAAGCTTTAAAACTTATTGTCCAACTGTCTTATTTGGTTAGGCAGTAAAAAGTAAGATTTCTGTTAGACCAGTTTTAAGCAGGAGCCAAATTGGGCTGCTCTGTGATAGCTATGTGAGTTAGCCCCTTTTCTTCCTGGAGACTGGCATATGGTGCTCTGGATTCTAAACTTTCATTAAAAAAAACAACCTTCCTCAATGACATGGTTGCAAGAAGAAGCTTCAAAATGTGAAGCAAAGTTAAGACAGTGAAGTGAAGTGATGCCCATCTGAGTGTGCAGACAGCCTGAAATCTTAAGTGAGCTCTGCGCTTCTTCTCATATCAGGGAATATGAACTCTGACTCCAAATGTTGATAATATCTGTCTAATGAACAACTTTTGCTAACTGAAGTAGGCAAAATTTTGAGTTTACTTCCCAATTCACCCCCTCAGTGTAATACTTCCTTTGGACCAATTATGTTCTTCAGCCCTCTATTGTAGAGAAGTCTTTCAATCATTACCTAATTTTGAATGCTATGCTTTGTGAGATACAAACGACTAGCTTTCTGAGCTAACAACTCACTTATGACTACTCTTTCAAACTTTTTAAAAGAAACTAGAGTCTCTAAACAAACAACCGACACCTCCAGCATCACAATGGTTAGCAAAACATGACAATAAAAGCAGGAGAGAGAAAAAACATTTAGGTGCTCAGTTTTCATACGTATTCAATTTACTATATAACATAGATGGGCCAAAAGTCAGTGATTTTCACCCCTCTCCCTACTGTCTTTAACTAATTTTTAGATTTTCAATTGCAAAAGGGCAAGAACTAGAGAAAATAGTGCATTGACAAAGACAGAATGATAACTTATGTAGAGGGAACTTATGTAATGATCAAACAGTAATCCAATATAAATAGCATTTTTTGGCTCATGTGCCATAAAGCTGAGTCTTCCATAGACACGGATGAGAAAAACATGCAGTAAGAATTCTAGCTTTTGCATAAAAATAACTGAATTTCCCAACATTTTGGGGCAACATATTTTAACAAATAAACAATACTGAAACAGGTGTCACGTCCCCTTCCCAGGTCTCCCATATAACTGACACGCTAGCGGTGACACGTGCTACTTTTGGAAGTATTTGAGTATAATGAGGCCCAGATGTAACTGCCTTCCTCTAACACAGTGGTCAGCAACATATGGCCAAATCTGGATTGCAGACTGCCAAAGGGGAGCAGGGGGGACTTCAGCAGTCTTCTGGCAGTGGGGGGCTTCACCCATGCCTGTGCTAGGGCCAGATGGCAAGGAGCTGCACCAGGGCTAGAGGCTGCTGAGGAGTGGAGAGAAACCACAGCCAGATCAGAACGCTGACCCACCTCAGAGCTGAGCCTGCTTCTTCCAGCCTGTGGTTCTGAAAGGTTGCCAGCTGCTTCTCTACCACACACGACTTACTACAAACTACATCAATCTCTGCCAGACAAAAATAAAGGCTAGTTGACCAAGGAACCTGGATTGCTGTTAAGTTACCTGACAGTAGCTGTAATATGCTGCCCAGGTCTAAAGCTCTGTCCACTCTGCAACTGGAGATGTAACCACGCTAGCAAATGCATTTTTAATTTGGTTGCTGTAACAGGTTTCCAGCCCTAGCATGGAAAGGGCCCAAAATCCTTCGCTTTCCCCCACGACCATGCACAAGCATGTGAGGCTTAAGGCAAACTGCCAAATGGTTTTAGCAGGTTCCTCATATATAAAAGTAACTTTGAAATGCAAAACCAGCTTCAATCACCTCTGCTTCATCATTCAGAGTTGAGAGTAGGAAAGCAGCTGTCAAGACAGAAAGTATGTCTGCGTTACAGTGGGGCTGGCACTTTAGGTCAACCCCAGGACAGTGATCATTTTAAAAACTTCATAAAGCATGGCACAAACATCCAAATATACATTTTTTCTGCAGGTAGGCAATACAGACACATCTGCTAAATGGCCATTCTGGAATTCCCAGTTCAAACAGCTTCCTTTAGAAATATTAAGACAGACCACCTCTCGGCAGGTGGAACCACAGCCATTGAAATCAGCTGGTGCATTAGAACTGAGAGGATGCTGCTTTAAAACAGCAGGGGGCTGCAGTCTGGACATTTGCAGTGAGGATCTCATCATGACTAGAACTCACTGCTCTCTCAGTTTGACATAGTCAGCTGACTCCCACAGTACACTAAAAGGGTTTAAAAGGGTTGTGTGTGTTCCCAGGCTATCAAGGAAAGAGTGAGTTAAAACAGCATGTGAATTTAGGGTGAGGAAGCACCTGTAAAAAGATTCTAGTCTCCTTCCAAATTTATAAATTCAGATTTATGAATACAGATCTGCCCATAACCAACTTTTTCATGGTTAGGTGGTTGAATGTTTTATAGCAGGAGTGTCAAACATAGGACCTGTGGAGCCATATGAATTAGTCCCTAGGCCACTGGACTGACCTCAGGCACAAGCCATGCCTCCCCCCTTTCCCCCTTGACACACACTGTAGCTAGGGACAGAAATTACACATAAATCAGTTTAAGTGATCAGAAACTGGTTTAAACCTGTAACAGAACAGAAGCTCAGTGCACATAAATCAGTTTCAAAATGGCTGAAACTGATTTAAGATTCAAACCTGGTTGAATGTAGTATCAGACTTAACTGATTTAGGTCAAACTGGTTTATTAAACTTCTGTCCCAAACCCCTTCCTGGTTTAAGTTAAATCAGAGTCCCCCAGCATGCTTTTCAGCCTTGGGCTGGGCTGTGCTGTCTGCTTCAGAGACGAGGGCTAGCTAGCTGGAGCAGTGAGGGACGGCTCACTGTCTCCCCCCGCCACCCTAGGCAACCCTGGGACTACAAATCCCAGAGGCACCTGGAAGCAGGTAGAATTAGCGACGAGCAACCCTGCACAGTCCTCCTTGTTCTGATTCTGAACTGCAAATCCCAGAGACCTCAGGGGCAGCAGGAAGAGGAAGTGAACACACAGCCCATGCTGTGTTTATAGTTACTTACAGTTTTACAGAAAAAGAACCATTCTTGTTCAAGTTTTATGAATTTGATGCCACTCCCCACCACCCCAACAGAGCCTGGCCATGCCCCCTCCATGCCAGCAGGGAGGGGAGGAAAGTCTTGGAGGGCTTTCCCTCTTCCCTCCCCTTTGGCAGTGGCTGGCAAGCATGCTTCTAACTTGAGCCACTACAGGTTAGGGTTACCATATGTCTGGATTTTCCTGGACATATCCTCTTTTTTGGACCCCTGTGTTGCATCTGGGTGGGTTTTTAAAATAAGAGGAAGTGTCCAGGCTTTGTTCTGTCCAGGTCTGGCTGCTCCAGGATGAGAGCAGCAGGCAAGCCGATTGGCTGTTGGGGGTCATCTGCTCCCTGTATTGGCTCTGGCACGCATGCAAGAGATAGAGAAAGAGAAAGCAAGTGCACAATGAAAGAGCTGCTTGGCCTGGGTAGCAGGTTGGGAATGAGGGACACTGGCAGGGCAGGGGGCAGGAAATGAGGGGCACTGGCAGGGCTGGAGTCAGTGGGTCCAGAGTGAGGGGCAGCAGCAGGGCTGGGGGTGGGATGTGACTTGTCAATGAGGGGCAACAGAATGGGCAGGGCAGGGCAGGGCCCCCCCCCCGGCCCAACTTCTGAATCAAAAGTGAATGTGCATTCACTTGCTAATCAGTTCAGTCTCTTAGACTAACCTGCAATGACTGAATCAATTCAGCCTCTGGCTTTTTGACTGTCTGTATTTAGCCTGTATGTGCTAGCTCTGGGACCATACCTGAACTGCAGCGCAGATCCAGCAGGACACGACATGAAGCATGGACCCCAGACTGATCTCCTGTATTGTGTGCAGCAAATGCAGCCAGTCCAGAACCACACACTGGCTCCGGGGCTCACTGTGCATGTACGGCCAGCATGAGGCACACACGGGCAAGACAGTAGGACTGTGCAAAGCTTCAGTGGAGATTCAGCCTGATTTGGTGGCCGAATCTCTGAATCCGGAATGAATCAGAGAACCCTTTAATCTCTCCAAATCAAATCAGAATGCTCCAAATCGATTCGGAGAGATTTGGCAATTCGGATAGAGACGCAGCTTTAAATGTTTTTGCTACATACCTCTAGGTAGCAGAGGCTTGTGAATGCTGTGATGCTGGGGTGCATAGAGCATCCCACAGAAGTGCAAGGGGCTCCCGAGTCCACCAGGGAGCATGCTGGGGGGCCCCACCACAGCCCTCCAGCTCGGTGACTTGTGCATCCTGGGTCGGTGGGGGGGCAGCCAGGATCCTTCCATGGCCCCCCAGAACACTCCCCAGCAGACCCAAAAGTATGTCCTGTCCACTTCCGGGTTTGCCGCTAAGAGTATGTGGAGGGCCCCCCCACACTCCTATGGGATGCCCCATGCACCCCAGCATCACAGCAATCATGAGCCATGCCTCAATGTATGTAGAAAAAGCTTTTAAAGCTGTATCTATGTCCAAATCAGCATCGAATATTCAGATTCAGATTTCGCTGAATCGAATCAGGGACAGTGATCTGAATCAACTAATCGAATCACTGTCCCTGATTCAGGCCAAATCTGAATTGAATAAGGCCCGCTTTGCACACCCCTACTAGACAGAGTGCTGCACATGGCATAGGGGGTTCAAGGTATGGGATGCATGCAGTGTCCTGGACCGACCCCTTGTTCTGCCTGCAGCGCCAGGTCCAGGCTACACAGTGAGCAACATATGCCCCAGGTTGGCCCTGCATGCCATATGCACAGCAAGCCTTTAGGCCAGCACGTGCTGTGCGTGCAATGCAGTTCTGAACCCAACACTGTGGATGCTGCATGGGGTATCGTCTCAGTCCAGGCCACAAACCAGCCCAGTAACACTCACCCAGCCTCTGGAGCCAGACGGAGTTTGACACCCTTGTTTTATAATATGTCACAAGAAAGGTCATCTTCCCTGTATTTGCCTTAAACTCTTGGACCTAATCTGCAACCACTAAGACAGCAGTAACAACCTTAGTTCAGGTTGAATAAAATAAAGGCTTATTATGTCACTTTGCTAGCATTTCATTACCTTGTGAAGATAAAAGCCAAATTAATAAAAACCATTAATTTCTCAAATTTTACTGATCTGCACTAAGTATAAATTTATTTTCAGAAATGAGTGAAATAAGCAAAAACTGAAATATAATTTTCATTTCTGTTTAAGGATAACATATGCACAACCTTAGCAGTAAGTAATAAAACATAATGATTGGAAAACAATGAGGTAAAAATTTTAACTTCACGTTAAGGTTGTTCCTCAGTTTTCGCAGTCTCACTGTGTTAACTGCAAATGGAAGCAGCAAAGGTAGAACTATGAAAAAAACCCTCTCAGGCAGGGACACAGGAATTTAAAGCATTTAAGTGTTCTCAGATCAAGCTGCAGGTGTCTGTTAAAAGAAGTGGGGCAGGAGTTTATCATCCTACATGACAGGGGAAAAAGAGTGGCTTTATATTTGTTTGCCCTCAATCAACAACCATGAAGGAGAGTTGAAAGTTGTAGAATTTTGTCTCTCCACTAAGTACATAGTAAGAAGTTTGCCTCCTCTGGCAGTGACCTCTATGCTGTACTGATCAAAAGGAAACAAGCCACAGACGAATAGAGAAGCTGATAAAACACAGTAAGATTTCTAGATTGTTTAGCTGAACAAGGACACCATCCTGCCATCAAAAAAGTTAAACATGAGGTGCTTTATGCAACAGAGCTATGCTTGCACCTCCTGCACTATGAAAAACCTCACTTTCATATGTCCAATCTACTTGTGATCCTACTTGGCACTCTTGCGAACAAGGCTTGATTTACCAGTTGGATAACTATGAATCAGAATTCCTTCTGCAGCATGACCTTGGGCAAAATGCTTCACCCATTTGTGCTTCAGTTTCTCTCCCGATAAAATATCTTTTGGCCTCACAGAAGAATTGCATTCATATTTAAGGGTCTCTTTCCACTTATAGGCATTACTTAATTCAACAGATTATTTTTATTGTACCAGATGGACCACCCCAATTCCAAATACAATTTCCAAACAGAAATTCCATATTCTCCCTTATATGATGTCCATCGTTTTATTCTTTTCCCATTCTCTGCAGCTGACAAGGCTTCCATATGGCAGTCAGTGATAAACCCATAAGCTAAAGAAAAAGTCTTCTCTTACAGTGGACTATGAATTTATTTGATACGAGCTGAATTAATAAAACAATTAACTAAACTTATTTTTCAGTCATTCGTATCATATAACATTACACTTAAAAAAGAAAAAAAGCAGCTACCTTGAGTTCCTTAATGGCTACAATGAAAGCTGGAAAACGTAACAACATCATCCAGCGTAGAATGCAAAAGGCCTCACATATACTAAGTAAGTGAGCTGCATTTACTAAATGCATTAGCTAACACAGTGGTGGCTAACCTTTCTGGCAGGCACACCACAAATTAGCCCCATACCCTCCGAGTGCTGCTCTGTTTTCTGCTCCCTGCCTGATCTACCCACTGTGCTGCCTGTCCCTTCCTCAAATCTGCTGCTTGCCACACTTAGAGGCTGCCCATAGCACCAACAGCTTGTCCACCCCTGGGCTACCACACAATAATATTTTTAACATCAGTTAGTACCTAATGTAGACAAAGATTGGAATATTTAAAACTTGTTAACTGGCTGTGGTCAGTGCTAGGTGGCCACATGCTCACTCCTTAAAAAACATGCATCTAAGGAGGCATCTTAAGTTAGGCATCAAAAAAAAAAAAATCACTCAAGCAAATCTGACTTGGGTCAAAATTTACGGCTGTATTTGTATTTTTGTAATATCTCTAACCTCTTTCTAGTCATCCATGTGAATGATCTCTTTGTGCCTGTGTCCAGTCTAATGAAGACCAGCCCTGAAGACTTTGGGAGTGTTTGTTAAGGGGAAAGGAAGCATAGCGTAACAACTGTTACAATGAAAGTACATATCTGGTAACTTACTTTGTATTTTCCAAGGTCTTTTGCATTTTCTTGGTCATCTTCTCAATGGCAGCCTGTCTCTTCCCCTCTGGAAGGAGATCTATTTTGTTCAGAACTACTACCATCTTCTGGCAAGCAATTTGTCCAATCACCAAGCACTCTGCTGACTGAGTCTGCATCCCTTTTGTCACATCTATTACAAGCATCATCAAATCAATAATCTGGGCACCTGGAGGAGAATTCAGAATCAGCATTAGGTCAGCATTATAGGACTAGAGACTACCTTTCCAGAATATTTTTCTAAAAATAAAAACAACTTTGCATATTTTATATATCTAAACCTTATTTGTATACATTATAAATAGATGTTGTATGTATAAACAAAAATGCATAGGCAATGTGAAAATCTAACACATGGCTTTGTTCAGTGTCACTTGAAGACTTAGGGAAATTTAAGTTGCCATGGAATAAAACTGAGCCTATACAAAGAAATCTGATGGTATTATTAAAGTTTAGCTAATGCTCCGTATTGAGAACTTCACATTAAGAACTTGGAAAAAGCATAAGTGATCTTCACCACAGCATAAACCTAAGGCATATGGGTCTCAACTAGTTTGGTAACACAACACAACCAGATGAATAGGCTACAGTGAAATGTATGCTGATTACTAGGGCTGTGCGAAATTTTGACAGTCGTTTTGTTTTGGAGGTGTTTCGGCCCATTTCAGCACCCAAAACACCGAATCCAAAATGAAACGGAAGGCTCGGAAACATCTCTGAAACGAAACCGAACCATCCAAAACTTTTTGTAAAAGTTTCGGATGTTTCAGAAGTGCCCCCAGGAAGAGCAGCCCTCCTTTTAAAGTGCTGGGAGGCTGGGGCCGGGTGTGGGATGGGGCAAGGCACGGCAGCCATGAGGGCTTCTCCTGTGGCTCCCCGCACTGGGGCAGAGGTAGGCACAGCCGAAGGAGCCGTGGGAGAAGCCATCCCCAGTCTCCAGGCACTTAAAAAAAGCCCTGTACTCACCGGCTGCAGCAGCGGGGATCAGGGCCTCTAAGGGCTTGTGGCAGAGCCTCCCCACACACCGCACAGCAGTGGGGGTCACTGGGGGTGCTCCTCCCTCCCACTTGGCACCTACACAACAGCTGTCACATTGCACAGGTGCAGCGCAACTTGGCAGGACACTGCGCGCTGTCTGGGAGCTGAGGCGACTCCAGCACTCAGCCAGAGCCTGGCACCACTCAGCCCCAGCGGCCCCAGGTCCCAGACAGCACACAATGCGCAATGCCCTGCCAATCCCTGCTGCGCCTGTGCCATGGGACAGCTGCCACATGGGTGCCAGGCAGAAGCGGGTCATCCCCGCTGCCCCCCACTGTCCCATGCTCTGCAGGGGGTGCTGATTTGATTTTGAGGATATTTGGCCCAATTTGGCGGCTGAATCTCTGAATCCAAATCAAATCAGGAGACCAATTAAAAGGTCCAAATAGATTCGGAAAAGATTCGGAGAGCTTCAGAGATTCGCGCAGTCCCCAGTTGCTGCCACAAGGAGCTGGACCCGAACTCTGTGCCGCTAAGTAGGGGGTGGGGGAGGGAACCATGGGGGGACCCCTGCCAGGCCCCATCCCCTGCCTGCTCCCCCAGCTCCCATGAGTGCCCTCCCAGCCCCTACCCACTCTCCCAGCCCCCTCCGTGGCTGCCCCGCTCGGCCCAGCTCCCAGTGCTTTAAAAAAAAAAAAAAGCCCCCACTAACCGGCTGCTGCCAGGCAGGGG